TGGAGACACAGACATGTGTCCCAATGTGCTCGGCAAGGTGGCTGTGTGGGCACTTAACTGGGGACCCTGAGAAAAGCTGAGAATTTGCTTTCCAAGCTGCATCCTAAACTGTGTCCCGAGGATTCCTGCATTCCCTCTAGAAGGCCCCTCTCGCCAGGTACACACACTCCAGTGTGCACGTGTGGAGCACAGCACACACTCAGGGGCATGTGTGGGCTGCAGTGCACGTGGGGTGTGTGGCCCACGTGCAGGACGTGTTCCTGATAACGCCCCGTGGAGGGGAAGAATGAACGAGGGCATGAAGAGACCCCCACAGCAATGAGACCCCATCCCCATCAATCAAGAGTCCTCCGACATGGGACCTGTTCCTGTCAGCGGCTGCCACACGCCCTCCGTTCGCAGCTGTGGCCATCCTAGTGTGTCTGAGATGATGCCAGTTGCCAGTGGCATCGTCTCTCCAAAGTGGGTGAAGAGGCCACACCCAGGCTGCCCGGGGTGCCACAGAGCCACAGTGTCTTCCAGCCTCAGAGGGGATTCAGTGTGCTGGAGGGAGCTGGTGTGGCTTTGATTTCAGCAGAGGAGAGGGTAGGTAGGATGGGTGGGGTAGACGGATCAGGTAGGGAAGGGTATAGTAGGTGGAGGGGGTGGCAGGTGGGCAGGGCAGGGCAGGGAGGGTAGGCAGAGAAGGAAGAGGGAAGGGAGGGTGGGGCACGGTCAGGTGGGCAGGGCAGGAGGAGCACAGCACGGAGCAGGATGCCGCTGTTCTGGTCAGCTTGGTGTCGCTGTGACCAGACTCGACAGGAACTCAGTCATGGTGGGCTGACTCCACTGCTCTAGGCCCGAGGAGAGGCAGAGCCTGCGGAAGGGCTTGGAGGACAGCGGCCCAGGACACGACAGCAGGACAGAGAGGCTCTGCTCCAGCAACCCCAGAGGCACAGCCCCAGGACCACCCCCCAGCCGCACCCCACCTGCCCTCGGTGGCCACCCATTAGAGCCGAGCTCTCCTCACCCAGTCACTTCACTCTGACACTCTTGCGTGACCTCGCACGGGAGCTTTTGAGGGACACCTCATATCCAAACCCATACGCTCCAGAGGACCTTGATTTAGCTGTCCAGCCACCCCCAGGTTGCTTGTCCGCAGGGCCTGGCCAGGGTCCAGCATGTGCGGTGGGGCAACCCTGGGGGTTGCCACTCTGCCTCACCCCCACCCCCAGCACTCCTGACCCCTGTGTCCTTGTTGCAGTTTGTGGTTGTGGTCAGCATCGTGACCTTCAGGCCACCCCACTACGGAGCCTACGTCTTCCCTGCCTGGGCCAATGCCCTGGGCTGGGTCATTGCCACGTCCTCCATGGCCATGGTGCCCCTGTACGCAGTCTACAAGTTCTGCAGCCTGCCAGGGTCCTTCCGAGAGGTGGGTGTGCACCCGGCCCCTCCCTGGCCTACCCGGCTACCCAGGAGGTCTGGGCGGTGTCCACGCCCTGGCTCAGCCCGACCAGGGGAGATGGGGAGGCTGAGGGGTGGGGCCAGTGCAGCAGGGAGTATGAGTCCAGGAGCCCGAGCAGTGTCCACGTGTGTGTTTAGGTCACCTCACATCTGTGTCTTGTCAACGAGTCTGTGTCATGTGGCGTGTGCTGTATGTGTGCATGTGTCCACCCGTGAGTCCATGTGTCCGTGTGTATGGACACCTGCACACTGACCTGTGTCCCTCCAGGGTGGCCAGGGGAAGCCCCTGATGCAGCCATGGGCAGCTCTGGGCCCCCACCCAGAACGCTCCTCCTCTCCGCCCGGCTTTGCCCCTGGAGCAGGGGCAGAGACAGGTCTGGGGGGCCATGTCAGACTCCTGCCCTGAGTTCCTGAAGGGATGAGGGACGTCCTCCTTGGAAGGACTGTCCTCCCTGAGAGCCCCCCAGATGGTCCCCAGCTCTGCTCTGTGCAGAGTTCTGCAGGCCTGCTTAGGAGCAGTGCCTCGGGAGGGCCCATCCGTGTACCCCGGGTCCAGGGTTCACTCTGGAGCCAGCATCCCTTGGTCTGGGGCACCACAGAGGGCCCCTTGCCTCACAGGCTGCCCTTGGCCCAGTTCCCCTGTCCTCAGGCCAGGCAGGGCCTGGAATGGGTCCTGTGCAGCCTGTGACAGGGCTACAGCTCCTGGGCTGCCGTGGCCTCAGAGGAAGCTGATGTTGTCTGCGGTGGACGCTTCCGGACGTCCAAGCTGCTGAAAAGCAGGTGCCGGGCAGTTCCTGGAGGGACACGGTTTCCCCAGGGCCCAGGACCATGGGCAGTTGGTGCGGAGCCCCTGGGGGAGAGGTTTGCATGCAGTGGGCCCCAGCGGCCATTCTGCTGCCAGCTCCCACCTCCCAGCTCCCACACAGACCAAGAGGGACCTCAGTAGCTGGACTGGTGCCACCAGATTGTGCCCCCACGTGGGCCAGGCGCCCAAGGCCCCAGGTAGGGACAGGGACTCAGGGACAGTCATGGTGAAGCCTGTTCTCGAGGCTGGGGGGACGAGGCTCAGCACTGAATGAGAGAAGCGGGGGCTCCTAGCAGACACTGTGGAGCCTCCACACCTGGGCTGAGGGACAGGGCCCTGCACCACAGCCTGGGCTGCAAGTTGGGCCTGGACGCTGGCAGATGCCCCACCAGGACATGCGGGCTGTGGGCTCCGGCATCTGCCCACATGTCCCCTGAGGAGCGTTGGTGCCCTCTGGCCGGTGGGGGCCTGCGGGTGCCAATGCCAACAGCTCATTCTCCCTCAGAAACTGGCCTACGCTATCACGCCTGAGAAGGACCGCCCGCTGGTGGACCGAGGGGAGGTGCGCCAGTTCACGGTGAGTCGGCAGGGCTTCAGACGATGCAGGAGCAGTGTCCTCGTCCCACAGCTGCTCCTGGGGCCCCAGAGGGCTGCGTGAAGCAGCACACGCTTGGGTGCACCCATGTGCCACAGGGTCAGAGGCTGGCCAGGGGCCACCTGAGGTCTTGAGCTGAGGACGGGGCAGCTGAGAGCAGCAGA